TCTTTGAACAGTTTTCAACACATTTTGGGCATTACCACAATATAACAAAAAAGACAAGGAATAAAAAAGAAAGAAAAAACTTTTATTCTGAAAATACAATCATGTTTCTGGAACCCAGTATGAATGATACATGTTGGCTTCTTTTTTAAAAATCTTAACCAAACTGCATTTTCTGTATACCCAGAACTATTTATGTTGCATGGGGCATTGCTATACCTGCATTCAACCATCTGCTTATTTAAAGTTCTTCCCTATTCAACGAATTAAGCATTTAACTGTGATCCACATTTATTCCATACATGGTTAACAGCCAAAGTCAAATATTTTGTGCTTTGCTTGGAATGGACCTCTTCCTTGTACTATTTTTATGAGGCATGCTGTTTAATTGTCTACCTGTATCATAATGGGACATAACACTAGAGCAGTGCTTTTCAATCTGTGGTCCATGGACCTTGGAGGTCCAAAGACTATATCCTAAGGGTCTGCAAAAGATGACTATGATCAATCAAAAGTATGCGAGTTCCACACTTACAATTCAAAGAGTCCACAACTCCATTCAAAATTTCCACACAGTTCTGCACCTCCATCTGAAATTTTTTAGGGGTCCACAAATGAAAAAAGGTTGACAACCACTCCACTAGAGTATATGGGTCATTGGTCTTTTGGCATCTAATGTAAAGGCATTAATATTTTCTTTTTTTTCTTCTTTTTTTTGGTTGGTTTTATTTAATATATGCAGTGCAGAAATTACTACCTCTGACTTCTTTTGAGGTACCATATTACATGAAAGATGCATGTTGTTTCGACAGTATATATTTTGCATACCCCTCAATCTCCTAGTAACATGACATGGCTATGCTAAAATGAATGGTCTCAGTGACTGCAAAGCAAGTATTCAGTTAAGTAATAGTTACTACTGTAACGCTTTTGTCAGCTTGGGCACTTTAAATTAAAAAAAAAAAACAATCTAAGTTATACAGACTGAAAATAAAGTATGTTACAACTTGGATGGGGGGATGGTGAAAGAGTGGTTAAGACATCTTATTGCAGCTCCAGAAATGTGAGTTTCAATCTTGCTTCAGACTCATGCTGGAGGTAGTCTCAATAACCCATCTATAAATGTATATCCTAGGCATTCAGATTGGGTATTCAGAGGTAGCTAACATGAATGCTAACCACATTATTACTCCTTTGTGGACCATTAACAATGGAAGTCGCCATGCCTAAAACTACATTAGCTCACTGGGCTTTTATAGTCAGATGGACCATGATGGACTGACTGATTACAAGTAAAATAAATAAATAATTACATTTATTTGTACTATGACACCGCCATTTAATGATAAAAAGTGTACATATATGAAAAATTCCCATTAGCTTTAGCGAGAACATCTTCCTTGCTGGTAAAACAGAGATCAGTGAAGTTTGTGGTATTTCATTTTATGAGCTCAGTCCGAGAAAGGAAAGGAAGTTATATAGCACCTATTTCACCCTTTCACAAATAATCAGAATAATTTCTTCATACATGTTAAAAACAAAGCATTACAAAATACACAATAAAAATACACAAACTTGATTTGATCTTTATTCTGAGGTCACATTATCTGAACATCCATCCACTTACGTATAGGTATTGACAAAAATAATTTCTCTAAGAGAAAGGAATTAAAAATAGAAAACCTTTTCTCTCCCTAATCAACTTGAGATGATTAAATTTAAACAGCTCCACAGCAGCATATCAAGCAAAGGGTTGCTTGATACCAGGTTCAAAGACTTGTTACTGTAAGTATAGCACTTGCATAGGCCATTCAGAAGACTTTTACACCATAGGTCAGACTTTCCACATCAAAGATGGGAAAAGCAGCATAGAAAAAGAGAAATTATGAATATCTAGAGTTTTAAGATGAGTTCCCACATGCATACTCATCTACCAGAAATTATCAAGCTTAGACTTTTAAAAAATACAGTGGGTATGTGTTCAGTCTCTCTGTACTCTTCACTGAATGCATAAAAGATGGTGCATGCTCCCACTATTAAGTTTTCTCTGAACCACTGAATTCCAGAATACCAGAACTCTAAGGAAGATGGAAATGATTGTAGGATGAAGGATATTTAAATCTAGATTAATCATGTTCCTTTTTTTCTGGGACAGCAGATCTGTAAGTAACAACAGAATCCTGGGACACGCTGGGCAGCCTGGGAGGCCTGTGCTAGGCAGCAGAACCGAATCCTTTCCTCTATGGAAGTCTCCTGTCCTCGCTACCTGGTACAAGCCCCCCAGGCTGCCTGGAAGCAGTGGCGATGAGTAGGGCGTGCATGGGGGCTCACATGCACCCCCTGAGAGCGCTGGTGCGCCCCCTGACAGTCAGTGTTCCCGGGCAGGAGGGGCAGGTGAGAGCACTGGTGCCCCCCTGAGAGCACAGGCCAGGGAGTTGGGGTGCCAGGAGAAGCAACCCCTGCGGTCCCCCCACGGCTGATCGCACCCACCCAGAAGTGCAAGTGGCACGATCGGCCGTGGGAGCACCCACCCCCGGTTGCTGACTGGCTGACTCAGGAGGCACCAGTCACCCATGCCTGGAAGAGACCCAAAACATTTCTCAAACTTCTGTATTGTCAGAGCAGAAATAATTAGCATTTACCTGCCATCTCCTCATTGATAATCACAGTGGATAACTTTGCTGGAAGCAGACTGTTGTAAAATATCCATACCTGCCTCCATTAAAGAACATTCCAGTTCTGAGGACACAAGCCCTCCTCCCCACTCCCCCAACCCCTTCACCCTTGCCACCCTACTTAGGGTGTAAGTATAAATAGATTTTGGGATGCCGAGACATAGAAAAGCAATCCTGGGTGGTAGGTCCTAACTCTGCAAGCATGCCTGGAATATAAAACCCATGGTCATGTTGATAGGAAGGGGTACTAATAGGAATTAGAGAAGGAATCACCAAAGGTATTCCACTGTGTGTGTGGGCATGCACCTCAAACACTCAAGCCCTTTACGGCTTCAGGGCAGAACATGAGAAGAGCAAGCATACGCACCTTGTGTAAGGCCTCCAAGCATGTTTGAGGTGCTTGCCCACGTACACTGGAATGTGCATACAGACTTCAAAAAAGAACCAAGATAGTACAGCTAACACTACTTCCAAGCACCATGAAAGATGTTACTGTACTTACTTGAATCTAATATGAGGTTTTTTCCCCCCAGTCAGCATGGTGAAAAAAGCTCTTTGTCTTAGATTCATGTGCAAAGCAGAGGGTGGGGGGCATCTGGATCCTACAGCTCTAACTCTGGTCCTGAGCCCAGGTTCGGGCCAGAATCAGACCCACAGCACACAACTCTCCAATAATTAGATTTGGTACCTGGAAAATTATAACAAATTTATATATTTTCCATCCACAGAATCTAATTATTGGGGGACCATCTTAGATTCAAGTAAATATGGTAAATCCCAATTACAAGACTATCTGGAAGTCTGGAATCTGCATAACTCATACACCTTCTTGATGAAGCACAACATTTATGACAAAATAATGGACTTTCCATCTTTTCAGAGGTATTTTTTTCTTACATGAAGATGTGTATTTTTTGTTGGTGTTGCATATAAAGTGAGGGACTGAAACTGGACCCAGTCAGTAAGATTGTGTGCCCAAACAGGATTGAGGTACACATTTCAAACCCATTGGGTTACAAAGATCCTGGCCAAAGGCTTCTGGAAAAAGTGCAGTTTTATTTCTACTGCTGTTAAAGGGAATGTGTATATTTTATAAGTATGTGAATTACTTTAAGATAATAATAGCCTGATTCCATGCTACTGAGCAAAGCTAAGGTGGTGTGGGTGCTAAGGTGCATAGTTCACAGCCCAGAGGTCACAGGTTTGAGACTACAGGAGAAGCACTCATGGCACAGACCTATCAGATTCCAATGAGTCTGTAAATTGTGCTAAATAATTTGACATAAAAAAGGAAGGATGCTTCTGTTTTCCCACCTGAATGAGAAAACCCTACAAAACTCCAAATTTCAGATACCATTTAACCAAACAATGTCGCACAGTTTTAAAACTGTTAATATTTAGTTTCCTATATTGTATTCCATAAATGAAGTACCCTCAATCCTCGGTACCACCATCATTCACTTTTTGAGCTAGATTGTTCTACTTAAAATATTTTACATGGCTATGAATTTTCTTATGAGGGATATACCATGAACTAGGTATCAATGATTATTTTCCATACCACAAGGACTTTTTAAATTCATTTCTGTTTTACAGTATATATTACATAAAAGATGCATACATTTTTGCACCTTACAAATAAATTTATCAATAAGCTTTGAGAGTACCAGAAAAATGATCATCGGGGATAAATAGACCAATAAATGAATAAGTATATGTTCTTTAAATATAGTAGCTAGCAGTCAAAGTTAAATAAAGTGTCGCTTCAAAATATTATATTCCCTAATCCAGCCTTTTCGCCCTGGATGGGGGATGCCAGTTGACCAGATCTGCCACAATGGGTAGATGTGGTGGGGGCCTGATCTGGCCATGCAGCTGGGGAGGCAAGGGGCAGCTTGGCTCTCGCACAGGGCTAGGGAATTTGGCAGTAGGGCAGAGGTGGCAATATTAACTGCCACTGCTCCCCCAGTGACAAATTTCCTGATCCATGTGGAGTCCTACAGACTGGATGCCATGGCTGCATGGGCTGAATTTGGCCCACAGGCCTGGAGATGAGCTTCTCTGCTCTAAACCATTTTTACTGGTTAGAAAAATAAACTGAGCGTATTATTATTCTATATTGTGAGAAGGAATACAAACTTTTATAAAAGATGTAGCACCAAAATTCTAACAAGCATGTTTTCAGTGATATCCTCAAATTTGAGGGAGAAAGGAAAAGCATCTCTCTTGGCCATCTTCATTTACTGTGAAGCAAACTCTAAACTTAACCAAATGTCCATTACTTAATTTGAATATACGTAAACTTTTTGAATTAAGAAAGTATCTTACCTGGCATGATGATAGCCTGCTGAGTATTTGTGTCTGCATTCAAACAGAGGCGCCCACCTTTGGCCAACCTATCACAGAGCAAAGTTATGTGTTTCTTCAGCCTACTAGTATCTTTGGGTATGCTCAGCTGACTGGTGAGAGTCAAGGCCTGTTCTTTAGAGCTTTTGGAAAGACAAGTTCTCAATAAGTAAGAAATTGCAGCATCCACAGTTTCTTCCCAGCCCTAGATGAAAGGAAAAGAAAAGAAATTAAATGAAATATAATAACCCTCCTTGAACTTGAACAAGTTGAAGAATATACAAGTCAAATTTCTAAGCAATGAGTTGCTAACAAGTTTCAGTCTATATTGCGGTGTAAAATAGACTTTTTAATTTAATGAACTATCCTGAAATGAGATTTCTTAAAGTTTGCATAGAATAATAACAACTAATAAATTGATAAACAGAAAATCCCCCCTAATTCTTACAATCAGAGAAACAATAATGCAAATCCAAGAACAGTATCTGCAAAAGAAAATTATAAGATAAATCACAGCTAAGCCCAATACCTTTATTTAATGTTATAAATAAGAATTTTCACCAGTAGTATTATAAGAATTTATCATTTATTTATATAAATAAGAATTTTCACCATTTAGGAAAAGCTCCAGAAAAGATTCTATGTAAACATAAATGTTTGCTACGATATGTTTGTTTGCAAACAAACTAGGGAGAGAGAAGAATAGAGTTCATCCAATTGTATAACTTTTGGAAATCACCATAAAAAAAACCTTTTAATTTAAGGGTTAAATGTTACAAAGTATTTTTTTCCTGTTAAATACCTGTGACGATTTTAAGATTAAAATATAATTCCTAGCATTTTATGGTATATATTTACATAGGCAAAGACTGTTAAAAATTACAGCTGCATACTAGATAATTTAAGTAGATATGGCACTCATTACAATGGGCATAACAGAACTCCCTTTCATACAGCCAGTTGTAGGTCTAGTCATGTGCCATATCACATTTAGGCATTTCTTATAATATTTCTTTATATTAGGAGGCATTACGCCAATACCACAGAAAGAATGCCACTGGAACCAAAAGTTATTACATTTAGTATCCAACCATAATACTCGTAGTGTGCATTATGGCTCCAATACAGCAAAGCACCAGCACATGAGTGTTTGAGTTCTTTGATAAACAGAGACCTATCTGATTTAGAAGAGAGTAAACTGGCAAAAGCTTTGAGTTTCATGGATAGGTCATGGGGTAACTTAAAACAAGTGGCTACATAAAGACAATGGGAAATGGTGAAAATTTGAGCTGGGGATTTTTGTCTCAGCGCACGTGCCTGGACATGCACTTTGGTGTGGGGCAAATTCTGCCACTTGGGGCAAAATAACCCTGCCTGGCTCCTCCTCGATCTGCAGCCAGGGGGAGCTAGAGCCCAGGGCCAGCACCTGTGCTTTCCCCAGCAGTATAAAAAGCTGCCCTGTCCTGGACCCATTGTCAGGTTTGACCTAGAAACCACTATACAAAGCCCAAGCAAAAGTCTCTGTTATGTAACTAATGCCCATCTGCAATGATAAGGAGGAGACAGTCTTAGATAAAGGAGGCTTGAAAACAAAAGCAGAATCAGAGGACTAGGGCAAAGAGCTGATTTGAATATTGAGAATCACACCCCTGGGTGGGGAGAAAGTATGCTAATGAAACATACATGTATGGAAATGAGATACATAGCTAAAACACAGGTATAGAGACATGCTCAGTAAAGAACTCCTTGCGTCACTCCCTTATAACCAATTAGCAAACAAGAATGCTTATGAAGGTCCAATACTCCTGTATAAAAGATGCTTAGAATTAAAAATCTCTGTGCTTGTTACGTGAAATTATTCCGCTTGCACCTTGTATTGCTAGCAATAAATCTTTATACTTTCACCCCTGGTATCTTTATTGGCTTTTGCATACCGGGCACGATCCCAGACTAGAGCTGGGGCTCAACACCATCAGTACAACAATCTGCCTTGTCAAGTAGTTCGGGCTACTCACTCTCAGGAGCTTCTGGGGCCCAGCCAACTGGTAACTGGGGACACTACCCCTTATGCCAGCTGGACTGCTGAAGCAGCCGAGAGTTCCCTGCACCCTTTACCCACTGCAGCAGTCTGGCAGTGGGGGCTGCTACCTGGCTGTGACCTGCTGTACACCTGCCAGACCTGGATGGGGACTGCACAGCCAGTAGAGGCATCTGCCCCTCTGGGCCAGTTGCCAGTGGGCTGTGGCTGCAGTGTTGGCCTTTGTGCAGGACTACTGCCATTTGTGCCACTTGCCTGGCCATCTGGGCAGCTATTGCTCGGAAGATGTTCCCAGTGTGGTGGCCTGCTTTGAACTGTCAAAGCATGTCCTCCTAGCCCCAACTGGCCAGGAAGCCAGCCACCTCCAGCTGGGTCCAAGGTGACAGCTCTGAGCAGGCTCCTCTGCCTGGGTCCTGCCACTTGCCTCCCTAGCAGGAATTCTGGTGTTCTCCATTTGAAAATTGAAAAATCTCTACAAAAAAAATCCCAAAGTCACTCTGTAAAATACCCAGAAATCTATGTTCCTCTACAATTAAAACACAAAACTACTATATAGAGAGCAAGAGGGTGAGAGACAGAGAGACAGCGATCAGTTGGGCAATGTGTTATTGATATATCTATAGTATTAAAGCAAATTGGAAGCCTACCAGTGTCTCTATCATCATAATAAAATGAATTCTAAATACCTATATCTTTTGCTGTTTGCCTTTGGTTTTCTTACCACAGAGCAGTTAGAGCTCCCTGTGACCCCTTCACTAACCAGGATGTGTGGACAGCTGCATCTGCAGCCACAGCTCCTGCCACCAGGTGTCATCCTGTCTGGCAGCTGGGCACGCAGGGTGTGTGCTGGGGGGATGTCGGGTTTGCAGGAGGAGGGTGGGAAGGGGGTGGGGGGATGTGGGTGGCTGTGGAGCCACATGGCTCCTGCAGGGCCCACCACCCCCACTGCAGGGCCCACATGCCCCACCCCCCTGAATTGCTGCCTTGCCTGACCCCATCTCCTGCTAGCTCCTACAGCCCTCCTGATGGCCGCATTGAATGGGGACAGTGATTCGAATCACCAAATCAACAAAAAGTGGCATAAAGTGATGCTAGAGTAAATTCTGGCCCAAATTAAGCATACAATGTAAAGAATTTTATAAATGTAACTAATGAATTTGCTTCTAATTAGACATAGGGGTGGGTATGCCGATTTGCTTAATTTTGATCAGCAACAGTAGTAGTAATTTTTTTTGCGGCACACACCAGAAGAGGAGAATGTGCTAGCACTTAGACATTTCAGTGTCGCAAAAAAACCCAAATAAATATTAGGGTTTTCATTCTAATAATGAAAATCTATTTTATGAAAACTCTTCCATCTTTGACCTTCATATTGAGCACTGAATTCCAATCATACTTAGGATATCAAAAATATGAATTTCAGACCCTTATGAAATAATACAAAGCATAATAAGTTCTATTCATGATAAAATTCTGTTGTCAATGCTGAGGGTCACTAAAAGGCAAAAATGCCCATGGTTATTTGGGGTCTGCTTACTGCAGCTGAGGATCTTAGTAGATTTATCCCTCCAAATAAATTATAAAATCCAAGGGAAGGAAACATTTCAATTAGGACTGCAACACAAACTAATAAAATTCAGGAAAGGACAAATGGCTTGTGTATTCTGTTATTGGTGCATTGATATATATTTAACTTTTTCCAAACCTAGTTTTTGTATTTTATTTCCATGTAGCCTGCTTGTTCAATATACCATAAAACCATCTTCCCTAGTTCAAGAATTGTTGACTTCATAGACCTTCATGACTGGCAAAAAATATGTGGAAATTACTACTAAATAAAAAGCTTTCGCAGAAATATTGTTGTACAACTAAGAAATAATTGCCTCAAGAGATACCATATTTGCTAGCAAATATGATTACTAAAAGGAAGGGGAAAACCAAAAGGAGCAGATAATCTTTCCTATCATACAGGTTAAAAAAGTAAATGAAAGCTGAAAGGGCAAGTGTGTTATGCTACTCTAGGATTCTTTGGGCAAATGAGATATATTTTATTAGACGAACTAAAAAGTTGGAAAAATTGTTCTTTGCAAGCTTTCAGGCATAAACACTCTTCTTCCGGTATTGGAGAGTCTGCTGTTGGTTTGGATGCTCTCTTGGGTAGAGTATAACCCAATATGCAAAAATGCAGGTCTATGAAAATGCAAATGCATGGTAGACAATAGATGCGTGTGAGGTGGGGAGGGGATGTTGACCTATATGCTACTCTATACACATATATCCCACAGCAGAGGTCTGATTCTACCCATAGGCTCATAACATAGACCTCTGATGTTTTGCCTAATAATGTACATATTTGAGAGCCAATAGCAAACCAACTGTAGACAGGTATGATAATGGCAGTTTCATTCCAAAAAAAGTATCCTTAATATATGTATATGTCTTCCTCAATTCCTAGTGCTTCCCCAGTCACTCACAAAAAGGTGCATTGTTGAAAGAATTAGGCACAATATAAAGTATTTTATTATCCAAAACAAGTATATTGAAAAGACCCAAAATTATTAAATATCTTTTGTTCCAGACTTGCTAGAACAATGATGTCAAGCTTCCACTGATTCCTTTCCCAACAGCAGAGAGAGAGAGCAAGAGCATAGCACTGCTGATGATAACTTCTTTCTGTTTAATATTTTAAACAGAAAGATATGTAAGAACAGGAACAAGTTGTCATCATCATTGCTGACACTAGAGGCCCCAGTTCAGCAAAACATTGGAACAGTTTGAGTTTAAGATTTAGTATGCGTTTAAGCACATGTTACACCCTTGCTGAACATGGGTAGATTTATTAAATCACATACTTAGGCCTCAGGCTTTTATCATATGAATAATATGGTTTGATTGGTGTATTGCAAATGATCAAGTCATTATGAACACATGGTTTGAACAGCACGTGAGAAGAAGGCATACATGGAAGGAGGCTAGACAGACACTTAGCCAGGGTCGTTTGACCCCAGCATTCTTTTCTGTCCATAGCAGGGGGTCGGACTTGATGATCTGCTCAGGTCCCTTCCGACCTTACCAACTATGAAACTATGGAAAAGTCCTGGAGATAACGTTAGAAAACACATTGATTACATCACCATCAACAGAAGATTTAGGAATGCAGTTCAACA